GAGACGGCAACGGGACACGCAGAGGAGCAGTGGAAGGACGTAGTACCATCTAGTGTGTGCCTGGGACCGCAGGAGGACGCGGACGCGGAGCACGAGGACTAGTGCGAGCAACACGAACAAGCGACGAAGGACGAGACGCAGGCTCACGACGCTCAGTAAGACTTTTAGTAGGACCAGTGTAGGGAGAAGGAGCAGGTAAGGAGGAGGCGGGCTGTAACTGTGACTGCGACTGGACAGGTTGTGGGCACTCTAAGGGAGGAGCAGGACCAGTAGAGGGCGGGAGACCAAGAACCTGCTCAAGGAGCGGAACGAAGTACGGCCGCGGCCGCGCAGCGCCTACAGACCCAGTAGGGACAGCACCAGTACCCCCAGCGGCAGCACCAGCGCCAGTAACACCTCCAGCTCCAACAGCGCCAACTCCAGCAAACTCAGACGCACCAGCACCAGCAGAACCACCAGCGCCAACACCCCCAGCATTTCCAGCTCCAGCTCCCGCAGGACCTGCAGCTCTAGTACCGCCAGCAGCTCCAGCAGTACCTCCAGCAGGACCAACTCCAGAAGCCCCAGCAGCACCCCGAGTCCCAGCAGCTCCAGCACCGCCAGTACGAGTACCTCCAGGCTCAGCACCCCTGGACTCAACACCCCCAGGCTCCGCACCCTCAGGCCCAGCACCTCCAGACCCGGCACCCGCAGGCTCAGCACCTCTAGCAGCACCAGAGTCAATAGCTACCTCGATAGGCTCGACAGCGTCTATCTGGGACACACCTGACGGGGCAGGACCCTGAGGGGGGAGGGGGTCTACCGTGGAAGGACCTGGCGCAAGGAAGAGAGGCGGCGGGGGGGGGGGCGCAGTGTGGTAGGGGAAGAGACGCTATTAAGGCACCGACTCGTCAAAGGTGACGTCTTGGGAGGACAGAACATGGCGCGAGGTGGGGTGGTAAAACTGCCACCCAGGCGCGTCAGGGGGGAAGCCAAGGAAGACGCAGGGAACAGCACGGGGGGACAGCTTGTCCGCAGACAAGTCGCGGACAAACGCCCGAGATCCCCAGACCCAAAACGAAGACGCATCGCCAACCTTCCCCGTCCACCGCAAGGTGGGGGAGGTCTCTGGCAAGGAGACCCGGGGCTGAAGGTTGAGCTGATGCGCTGCGTACTGAACCGCAAACGGCCACAGAAAATGGGGGGCAGCCGCATGGATCATGGACGTATGAGCGACGTCCATGACCATGCCAATGCGGCACTCAGCAATCCCATTTTTCTGTGGAGAGGCGGGAAGCGTGAAGGTCTGGCGGATGCCCTGTGCTCGACAGAAGGCTCCCAGACAGGCAGAGGAAAACTCCCCGCCTCTGTCAGAGTGCAGACGGAGAACAGGAAAGTCCGAGCCGAAACTCTCTCTTAGTTGGAGACGAGCTGCGCGGATCCAGTCGATCAACACCTCAGTGACGTCAACCTTGCTGCGCAAGGGGAACACCGTGGTGTAACGCGAGTTGTCCTCAACCACCAACAGGAAGTAACGCTCGTGACCCTGGCCACGGACGCGGGCGGGGCCCCACACGTCCATGTGAAGAGTCTGCAGCGGAACCTCTGTCGGAGGAAACTCGGAGGAGTGAGGGGCGGCGCGCTGTCGCCCCTCGACGCAGGGGACGCAGGTAGGGGCAAGCCCCGGAGGTAGGGGAGAGAGGGATCGGGGGAGAACAGAGACAAGGACACGGGAGGCCATGCCTCGGAGACGAGGCAGGGAGGGGTGACCAAGGTCGTGGTGCCAAAGGAGAGTCTGGTGGGACAGGAGACGACACGAGTAGGGAGCAAACTCAGGACCAGACCTGGACGCTGCAGCAAACACCTGACTCGACGCAGCTACCTGACCAGACTCAGTAGCCGGAGGAGACTCAGTAGTAAGTGTGTACAGGCTCGACCCCGGCCGACGTGTGAACGTGGCCAAGTGTCGGCCTGTCCGAGCACACGTGAAGTGGGTCACCCGCTGACTCGCAGGAGTGAACTGGTCAACTCCCCTATCCTGTAGATCAGCTCCACTCACCAAGTTCGTAGAGAACGAGGGGAGGTAGAAACTTGACAGGGTGCCAGAGGGGGTTGCCGAGCACGGTAAGATAGTGGAGAAGCTAGCAAGGACAGGACCCCCAGATGAGTCCGCCAGGGAGACTGCAACCGGCCGACTAAGCACCGTAAGCGTGGTGCGGTCTCGAAAGAAGGAGCGGGAAGCACCCGAGTCAAGGGTGAAGGTGTGTAAGGCCTGAGCCGACGTAGTACCTGAGAGAGTAGACTCACCAGCACCTGGGGCAGCAGACGCACTAGCACCTAGAGCAGCAGCCTCACCAGCACCTAGAGCAGCAGCCTCAATGCCCGGGTCAGGCGGAACACACAGGTAACAGTCACCCGCATCACCAGTAGGCAATGCATACATGGCAGTGAGGATAGCATTATGGTCAAGAGTATAGATATCTACCCGCAGCCTAAGCAGCTCCACCCCGTTAGGGAGCTCAGCCGCGTCGCCAAACTCCGTACGCCAAGCGTCGCTCAGACGGGCGAAGCAGCGGGACTCTGTGTGACCACGCGTCCCGCAAGGCTGACCAGTCCGGACACCCGTGCGAATAACGTACGGGCAGCGAGCAGTACTCAGCGACCCTCTACTCTGAGCGTACCACTCACGAAGCTGTTGGGGGGTGAGGGATTCACGCGGGTGACGCTGGAGCTGCATCTGGCCACTACAAGTAGCTGCGGAACTACTCACTCCAGGACGACTCCCACTATGGCCACCCCGACAACCCCAACTAGCATACCACTCACGAAGTTGTTGGGGGGTAAGAGACTCACGCGGGCGACGCTAGAGCTGCATCTGGCCACGCCAGGAGCAGGAGTAGTAGTAGAAAGAGCTGTAGCATCAAGAGCAGCAGTAACAGCAGTACGGGCAGGGCAGTGCTCACTAGTGGCGAGAAGGGCAGGCGTACGACGGCGGCAACGGCGAGGCCGCTACCACTGTAGGGCGAGAGCTCCGCGGCAGTTGCAGGGGTGGCTGCTCTAGGGGCGGCAGTTGTAAGGGCGGCTGCTCCAGGGGCGGCTGCTGCAGGGGCGGGTGCTCAAGAGGCGGCTGCTACAGGGGTGGCTGCTCCAGGGGCGGCTGCTGCAGGGGCGGCTGCTGTAGTGGCGGCTGCTCCAGGGGCGGCTGCTGCAATGTCGGCTACTCCAGGGGCGGCTCGGCTGCTGGGCGACTCGGCTGCCGGGCGGCTCGGCGGCTCGGCTGCTGGGCGTCTCGGCGGCTCGGCTGTTCGCTAGTGGCGGCGACGGGGCCGGGTAGGGGCGGGGACGGGGCCGCTAGGGGCGGCGACGGGGCTGCGTAGGGGCGGCGACGGGGCCGCGTAGGGGGGGAGGCGGCGACGGGGCCGCTAGGGGCGGCGACGGGGCCGCGTAGGGGCGGCGACGGGGCCACGTAGGGAGGGAGGAGGCGATGGGGCCGCTAGGGGCGTCGACGGGGTCGCGTAGGGGCGGCGACGAGGCCGCTTAGGGGCGGCGACGGGGCCGCGTAGGGAGGGAGGCGGCGACGGGGCCGCTAGGGGCGGCGACGGGGCCGCGTAGGGGCGGCGACGGGGCCACGTAGGGAGGGAGGAGGCGGCGGGGCCGCTAGGGGCGGCGACGGGGCCGCGTAGGGAGGGGAGCGGCGACGGGGCCGCTAGGGGCGGCGACGGGGCCGCGTACGGGCGGCGACGGGGCCGCGTACGGGCGGCAACGGGGCCGCGTAGGGAGAGAGGCGGCGACGGGGCCGCTAGGGGCAGCGACGGGGCCGCTAGGGGCGGCGATGGGGCCGCGTAGGGGCAGCGACGGGGCTGCTAGGGGCCGCGAGGGGTTGGAAGGGCGGCGACGGGGCCGCTAGGGGCGGCGACGGGGCCGCTAAGGGTGGCGCGAGGGGCTGTGAGAGGGGCCTCTAAGAGAACTCGACAGAAGGGCGGCCCACAAGGAGCGCCTCGGGCAGGAGCCACTGGCGTTCCGGTCAGAAAATATTTCAGTGGTGGGCCCAAGGAAGCGTTCCCACTAGGGAACCTGCTCTATACCATGTGAAGAAATGAAGAATGAATGAACTAGCAAGCAGGTGGGTACAAGTGTTGTACCTCATATTGTCTACCCCACTACAGCCTACACAGACTATAGCATAAGAGTTTGACATGTAACCCTTCCCCTAATAGTCTATCATCTCCCTTCCGCTAACCTTCCCTTAAGATGGTATAATTGCCTAAGTTCCGGGGCCGTTCTAGAACGGTACCTTAGCTCCTAGGTTCTCCTAGCGTTAGTTGTCAGCCATCCTTCTATCCCTCCGGTCTCCTAGAGCGTGCTAGAGCTGCAGCCGCCAGAGCACGCTGTTAAAGCAGCCACTGCCCCGTGTTACCTTGTACGCTGCCCCGCCCTGCCCTGCGCTGCCCCCCGTGCCGCCCTGCACTGCCGTGTGCCGCCCACCGCCGCCCTGAGCGCTGCTACCTAGCGCTTCTGCGTGCGACCCGCGCTATGCCCCGCACGCTGCCCTCCGCTGCCGCCAGAAGCAAGCGTCCCGCCGGCCAGCTTAAAGCCGCCCACAGTAGCTCCCAGCTGCCCAAACCTACAAATAGCCGCCCATTGTCATTCCTGAACAGCTCACAGAAGCAACCAGCCGCCCACCGTAGCAACCAGCTGCCCACATCTACCCATACCCGCCCACGGTCGCCCTTAGCCACTCACAGCCCCTCCCAACCGCCGCCAGCCCCTTTCAGCCGCCCACCACCGCCTACTTCTGCCTATTTCCGCCTACAGCCGGCCATAGCCGCCCACAAAGGCCCATAGCTGAAAATAAAGAATGAGGGCATACAGAGGGGGTGCGGTATATATAGCAAATCCGTACGCTCTATATTGCAACCAAACCTAGCCTAGATCCATATGTGTGATTGACAGTTAGTTGTCTCCCTTATTAGTGATTCAATATCTACTACCGTATCCATCAATCCAAGGGCAGGCACATATTACTCCTCCCTGGCCTCGATCACAGGCCTCCACATGGTCTTTTGAAACGCGAGCACAGTGTCGTCTGTGTTGCGCCTGTAACTGTCAAGCGGCTTCCAGTGCAGCGCTGCTGCCACTGATTCCACCATGGCTGCCGTGGCGTTGGTCTCGCGTATAATGACGTACCCCATGGGCCGCAGCACTCGATCCATCTCCAGCATCACATCCACTATGTCGCAGCTGGGGTCAAGAGGGGAGGCGAACAAAACACGAGAGGGGGATGAAAGGGGCAATGCAGGGATACTCAACGTGAGCAGGAGAGCCATGCATTGATTGTCCCTCCCGCATCCATCTCCAGCATCACATCCACCACGTCACAGCTGGAGTCAAGGGTGGGGGGGGGGGGTGGGAGAGGGGGGTGCGGGAGTAGCAGGAGAGGAGGACGCACAGCATTCGCAAGAGAGAGCCATGCATTTCTTGTTGCCCGCAGCATACGATTCATCTCGAGCCGCATCACCCCCACAATGTCACAGCCAGAGTCAGGGGCAAAAGAAGCTGAAGCGGACGTAAGGGGCCAAGCAAGAATACAAAAAGCATGAGCAGGAGGGTTCCCGGTGGTGACTTCTTCCCCAGACAGCTTCGCAGCGAAGCTGGATTGGCGCACACAAATAAAACGTTGGAAAGCTGGTTCAAATCGCACCACCCAAACAGCCTCACACTCGGCTCATTGGACTGGGCCTACCAGGGCTAAGCCAATCAGTCTTACCCGCGGCGGTGGTTCTTGTCGAGGTGGCTCAGCAGGTGGTGCGCGTGTAGCAGGTCGTAGGTGCGCGGATACGTGCTGAACGACTCGCACCAGTCGTGGTACACGCCTAGCAGCCCGCGCTCAAACACCACGGGGAGCGTGTCCGGCCGCGATGTCGGCACCACGTTGAGCGTCCACAGCGGCTTGCCCGTGGCCGCTAATGCTGCTCCCCACCTGGTGTAGTTGCGGGCATGGGGCAATGGCATGTGCGGGTGTTGAGAGGACATGGCAGGCAAATGAAACAGGCTTAGTCCTAAGCCACATGAAACCTTCTGTTCATCATGTCACGTGAAGCATTCCGTGCATCGTGTCACCTATAGCGTTGCGTGCATCGTGCCAAACTAAATGAAAGAGAACACGCGAATGCATCGCCACCTCAGCCATGTGCCACGAGCCATGCATGCTAACCACACGTACCCTCCCATGCGAGCATCCATGTCCATGACGTTGCGAATGGTGCTCCAGTCGAACCCCATCCGCCGCTCATACGTCCGCTGCACCCGCTCCCACTTCTCCGTCTCGTTACTGAACGCCCCGTACCCTCCGTACCCAACTCCCTCTCCCCTCGCCCTCCCCCCATCCCACTCCCCATCCCCGCCCCCTATCCTCTCCTGCTGCAGCTGCAACCGCAACTGCATCTTCTCATCCACTCGGCTGCTCTCACTTCTGCTGCTGCTGCCGCTACTGCTGCTGAAAATGAAACTGTTACTGCCACGGCTGCTGCTGCTCCCGCTGCTGCTGCCTCTGCTGCTGGGCCTGCTGCTGCTCGCACTTGTTTCCTTAAACTCCTCCCACACTTCTTCCGCCTCCACCACTGCGCGGGTCTCCAGTGCTTCCGCCGCGCCGTCCAGCCACACCGGCTCCGCCGTCAGCCGCTCCGCGCCGTCCGCGGGCCACTGCGAGCCGTGCTGCGCGTCGCGGTCCATAGGCACGCGGTGCATGCACGACTGCATCGGCACGTACCTGAGCGGACAGCGCAGCGGGCGGGGCAAGGGGGCAGGCAAGCGGGAGAGTCGACAAGGTTGATGAGCAGGGAAGCATGGGGAATGGGGTATGCTGACGGCATAGGGTGTGCCTCGTATTGGGATTGGGACGAACGGAACCAAGGGCGTTGCGTGAAGAAAGAACGAAGAAGCGGCATGGGGCTTTCGACGACGAGTAATACCAGGTATTGAGATACCGTAAGAAGAGGAGCAAGTAAAAGGAGCCGCGATACGTACCAGGCGGCATCGGGCTCATCCGCGATTGAGCACAGCGGCGCAAGCGACGAGTTATTAGGGCGGTGGCGGTAGCACCGGTTGTCAGTGGGCTTCTGCCAAACCGCCACTCCAATCCCGAACGTCATGTTCACGCGCTTGGCGCGCAGCGTCCAGCACATACGCGTTGTAAGCTCCTCCATGGCAGCCCACACCTCGCGATCATCCGGCTCGAACGCCTTACACTCAAGGCACACGGGAGTCGCGGACCAAATGAAATAGCCCCCCGGGCGGATGAGTCGGTTCAGCTCCAGCAGCAGCATCCCGCCGTTCGGGTGCCACGGCACGCGGCACCGCGCGCAGTGTACGGCGTCGAAGGAATTCGCGGGGAACGGCTGACGCAGCGTGCCCATCACGCCGACCAGCGCGGGGACTCCACGCTCCAGCGCGAATTGTACCTGCGCCTCGTGCTCGTCCTTGGGCGCCACGGACAGCACCTTAACGCTCATCGCGTCCAGATACGCGCCGAAGCTCGCGACGCCGCAGCCCATGTCGAGCGCGACCTGCACGCGGCGCCCCCACGCGAGCTCCGGGAGGACCTGCTCCAGCCACGCGATGTACGTGGCGGCGCCGTATTTGAACTGCGTGCCGCCGCCGGGGAAGATGAAGCGATCCGACTCCACTTTGAGCCAGTTCTGGTCCGCCTTGTAGTTCGCCAGGGACGTGCGCGGCACGTTGTTGAACCAGATCTGCGACCATTAAACGTGCGCGGATGATGGTGGAAGTGTGGTGACGCGCGCGATTAAGAATTAGTAACGGACCGACATGTGCGCGTAGTCCTCGTCCGCGGTGGTAAATTGCTCTCCCTTACAAATTTTTCTTCCTGCTCTGTCAACCAGCCTTTCCCTTCTCTCTGCCCCATCTTTCTCCGCCCCCCTTCCCCCATCCCCCCGTCCTTTCCCCGTCCACCCCTCTCCTCTCAATGCGCACATCTCACCTCGTCGCGGCTCTCTGGCCAGGGGACGTGCGGCTTGTAGCCCTCGGGCATGGGCACGACGCAGCGCGGCATTTCCTGGGGGTTGGGGCAATGGCGCTCGCGGTGCTGGTACTGCTTGGTGGTGCGCAGCTTCTTGATCGCTCGCGTGTTGTCCAGGCACGGGATGTAGTCGTCGCTCACCGCGTCGCACAGCGGGAAGGACGCGGGGATCGCAGGGAGCAGCATGCTGCCTGTCACCGCACCCGGGGACTTGGAGGCACGGGAGATCTGCGCACGAGGAGACGCGGGGAGATCGGGGGATGGGGGAACCAGGAGGAATAGGGGGAATAAGGGGAATATGACGGAACGAGAGGGATATACAGAAGGTAAGCTGAATTAGCAACTCGATTTTGAGACGGGTAACGGATTTGGGGAGGAACAAGAAAACTTGTGCGTCGAAAGGGCATTGAGGATGAGGTCAAATTCGAGGTCCAGGAGGGGGTCAGAAGAAAACGGAATGCTTATGCTGAGATTGAAGAAACTCGACGTCAAGCCTTAAATCAAAGAGATCGGAACCTGCACAGCTTACCTTGTCACTCCCTGGTCTGGTTAGAAGCCATGTTCCAATGAGAATTAGCACGGTCGCAACAGCTATGGTGTTGCTGGGCTGATTAACAGTACGAGTACTACCCATGGCGGCTGTGCGAAAAGCGCACACGTGTCTATGAGAGCCTGGAGGGCGACGATGAAGAGAATTTGCAGACCGAGAAATGTTTTTGTCCTTTGCTTTCGTTCCACTACACAAGTGGTTCTATCTCTCACGCTCGAACAGAAAGGAAGCGGATCTGTTAACGTTTTTTTTAGGGCGAAGGGAGAATTATACGGAATTCACGCAGGCGAGAAGCTTGGGCACCAAGAAACGCCGCGAGAAGAATGGGCTAAAGGGATCCTCGCGACAGAATTGGTGGAATGACTGAAGTGAGCCCAGCTAAGGCCCCTTGGGAATTCAATGATGAGCCACCTCAACTGGAACAAACGAATGCGAGGGGTCAATGACATGACAGGGAGTTGCTGTCCCCAAGGGTTTGGTTCCAGCCCCCGTGCGGCTCGTCGAAAACAACGGTCTTGGTTTGGTTTGAAATTGTTCGGCTTGCTCTTTGCTTCGGGTCAGGTCGGAGTCGGAAGTGGAGGAGCCCCCGAGATTGCCCGCCCTGCCTGTGAGTCCATTCGTTCCAGGCTCGAGTCTCTCGAGTCCATTTTCAGCAGCAGGCGCTTCGTGTCGAGCCTGTTCTGGAAACAAAATTCGCGGTGGGGGAGGGCAGGAAGAGCGCGAAAGCAACGGCAGAGCGGCGCGGAAGTGATGGATGGATGTCTTCCCTCCCGTGGACAGTCCAATGAATCAGCCAATAACACAAAAGGAGCACCACAATCGAGGACATGCACCATCTTCAGTGTGAATACTTACAGTGTGCTGTACTATTTCAGTAAGGGTAGTCAATAGCCATGACGATACTACACTTTGAGAACTCCAAGAAATCTTGAACCAGCTTTTATTCGTTCAAAAAAGCAGATGGAGCAAAATGTTTCAGCTATTGTAAAGTTATAAAGAACTCTACTGATTCTGATAAATCAGCAGTTTTAAGATGAAGACAAGGGGCTGATCCTGTAGTTGAGGGCAATCCGTGCTCCTCAACCCTCGATAAGCTTGACGGGTGTGCTGCAATCATTCAAATACCACATGGGTATGTGAAATGAACGACTCATGCTCAGATATGCATTTCAGAACACCAGAACCCAGGATACACCCAGAAAGCTTAACAGAAAGACAGCGATAAAACATCATGGTTTTACTTACGGTAACAGAAAATGACATTTTAAAAAAGCACGAGGTGCAAGTACAGACTGGATTTAGAGGGCTTTGCGGCAGGAGGGAGGACGTGGCAGGGCGAGAGGAAAGAGAGCAATGGTAGGAAGCTCTCACCCATAGGCATTTTGCTTCACTGCCAGGAGCTCCACATTCATCTGCAGGCCATGGAGCAAAGGAGCAGCCAGTAGAGCACAGAGACATGCATCACAGGTTAGTCAAACTGAACCCTGCCATACGGATTGTGCTCAGCTCAAATGCGGAGGAACGACTAAGGACTGGGTGGCTGAGATGAAATGTTGAAGTTCGCAGCCCAAACTGCAAGCCGCAGGCTTCAAACATATGTGCCTGAGCAGAATCTGGATAAGAGTCTGTTGCAGTCTATCTCCACAAATCCGTGGCAACTTCAGATCAGGGTCAAGAGCATTAGCTTGGCAGGGCAAGCTAGCGGCTCTGGTGAATCCTGGGCTGGAGGAGCTTTGACAGTGGGCATTGCGTTTTGGGGTTCTCAACCCACCCACAATGCCCAACCAGCAGGGAGGACAGGAGCATGCTGCATACACAAAATCAGCAAGTTTTGTCAACTAGAGTCTCAAGCCTTCAGGTTTCCAAAATCGTGAACAGTTCGAAAGTCGTGGGCTTCAAGGGGCAGTGAAGGGGTGAGCGAGCAGCAGGGGCTTGAAGGGTCATTGAAGGGATGAGCGGGGAAGAGTCACGTCACCTGGAGTGTGGCATTGGGTGGGATCTCCTGAATGCCTCGGTTGCCATATGCCAGCTCCGGAGGCACAATCATTTGACGCTGCAGGCATGCAGACAAGGCGCGAGAGAGAAAGGAGAGGAGGATGTTGGGGAGGGCATGGGGGGTTTTCATGTGCAAGCGTCAAGTGATAGAGCGCTTGTTCCGAGGATGTGCAGTGCAGCAGACATGGCCTTGCATGCACGCAGCATATGGCACATTGGCGTGTGATCCACATGACGGCCGGCAAACTCATGGATGGATGGATAATGCAGCACAGAGAGAGAAGTCAGCGCATGTGGTGTTGTGTGGTGGCGTGGGGCAGACAGGGCACGTCCAGCTGTATAAACAGTCATCACACCACACCCCCTTCGCGTGTGCATCCCCTTCATGCCCAGATCAAATCAATCCTTTCAATCATCAACAGGCCGAGATTTGAGACAACTCACAACTTGAGGAAGCACAGAAGGGCACAGCAAGCCCTTCAAGCTCTCACCACACCGCCTGGGCGCATACCCTCACGTCCCAACGCCCAAATCCAGGCCCTTGAGCACCAAGCCATGCCTTGCGACAACTCAACACTTGCAGACGCAGAGCACTCACCATGCCGCCAGCCAGCACGCATGCCTTTGACGCCTGCCTGGTCGGGCCCCTTGAGCAGCACCATGCCATTCTTTGAGACGACTCAAAACTTGAGGAAGGACGGCAGGGCAGGGAGGGCAGGGTAGGGCACACTCACCACGCCGCCAGCGCGCATCCCTTCAACGCCCTGGTCGAGCCCCTTGAGCACCATGCCGAGGCTGCTGGAGCCCAGGTCAAAGCCGTACGGCGTGCCGCCTGTCACGCCCATGCCCTGCCGGCTCGTCATGAACGTGATGCCCTTCCACTGCACCACATAGTGCACCTGCACATGTGCCATGCCATGCACCCACTCACTCACTCACTCCCATGCGGCACGCACACACACACGCACGCACATGCACGCCCACCACTCACACACAGACGTACGCACACACACATGCACACATGCATGCACGCACATTCACACAGGGATGCGAAGACTGTTCTCAGGTAAGGCAGCAGTGCGGCGAGATGTGGACAGCGACAGGTGCAGAGCTGCAACGGATGTACAGACACAAATGGGGTGGTGGGTGGGGTGGGGTGGGGTGGGGTGGGGTGGGGTAGGGTGGGGTGGGGTGCGTGCTTGAGTGGTGCCTGCAAGTGCAGTGCTGCTGCGTGCACCCGTCAGATGATCAGAGCCCGGGAGAAGAGACCATGGGCACACACCACACCGCACCACACCGCACCACACACGCCCCCCTCACCGTGACTCGGTCTCCCAGCTTCGCCAAGGGCCCTGAGCCGACTTTGATGTCATAGATCCTGCACACACGCATGCGCAGGCAGCGCCGGGGGTGCAGGCAGAGAGAGAGAGAGAGAGAGAGAGAGAGAGAGAGAGAGAGAGAGAGAGAGAGAGAGAGAGAGAGAGAGAGAGAGAGTGAAGCAGGCAGGCAGGGAGGGAAGAGGAAATGAGCCCCAGGGCGGCGCCAAGCGCGTTGCGAGGTCAGGTGAGATTATAAAAGCAGCGACAAGTGCGTGTTTGTGTTTCTCTGCAGACCCAAAAACCAAGCATGAAAGCCCAGCCATGAAAGCCCGGTAATGAAAGCTCAGCCCTGAAAGCAAAGGTTCAAGCGCAGACGTATGTGCTTGTCTGCAGCAGTTGAGGCTGCCTGCAGTGTTAGGGCGTTGCGTTGACCCACACCCTAGACCCGCACCCGCACCCACACCCACAACCGCACCCGCACCTGCACCCGCACCCGCTCCCGCACCCCGCTCCCGCACCCACTTGAGCCCTGACGGCTGAGTTGTGTACTCCTCCTCTGGGATGCGCGCCCCTTGATTCTGATGCCGCACCGCACGGAGCAATGTGGCACCGGGCGCAAGGGAGAGCGGTGGGGGCCAAAGGAGAAAGGGATGGAGGGAGGGAGGGAGGGAGGGAGGGAGGGAGGGAGGGAGGGAGGGAGGGAGGGAGGGAGGGAGGGAGGGAGGGAGGGAAGGAGGGAGGGAGGGAGGGAGGGAGGGGAAACGGCTATGTGAGGTGCAGCCTGCAAATGGGAATAGGTTGAGCCAACAATTGAGCTCACCTATGCGATACATTTCTTGCATTTCTCATACCCATGGATGGTACAGCACAAGAGTCATGTGAGCCACTGGCTCGTGCTTCTGCTCAGCACATAACGGAGAGAATATCATATGGGACGTGCAGCTGCTGCCAACAACCGGCACAGGACAGGACAGATACAGCTGACAAAATGTGCGTGGGAGTGGGCGCACGGGTGTGGTGTGGGTTACCTTGCGTGACTCAGTCGCGAGCGAAAGAGGCCGAACCAACATGGTTGATCACGGCATGGGAGCAACATTCAAAAAACTCTTTGGGCGGGGATAATAACAGCAAGGCTGGACTGGGGAGGAGCTGATGAGCTGGCAGAGAGGGCGGTGGTGGCAGAGGGAGAGAGAGCACTCACGGCACGGCGGCTGGTGGAGACAGCATGTGCTGGAATCGGGGAACTCAGCAAGGCTGTTGGGTGAGGGCGGGGCGCACAGGGGGGGACATACACAGTAACAAAACGATGCCTTTTTCTCCTTTCTCCTTTCTCCACTCTCCATTCTTCTTTCTTTTTTCGTTTTTGAGCTGGTGGGGTCAGACCGAGCCTAGGTTCGGTCCCTTGTTCAATCCTCCTGCCTAGACTAGACAGACAAGAAAACCCCTCGCTCTCTGCAAACTTTAACTCAAAACTAAACAGATAGAATCAGACGTGGGCACTGGATCCAAAAGGACAAGCACCTAGCTGCCGCGGTGGGGGAGCCGCAAACTTCGGCCATGCACGTCGCCCGTCTGTATGGTATGGTATTGGAATCACAGGCCCCTAGCTGTGCCTCCTCTTCGCTACGCTAACTGCTGCATGAGCAGAGGGGCTTCCTTTCGTGTGGGCACCACGAGCAGCCTAATGGTCATTGGTCAACCGTCAATCTGACAAGAGCCGCACTTCTGCAGCTTCTTGGAGGGATACCCACATTGCCACCCTCGCAAATTTCGGAGGAATAGTGCCAGAGAGAGGGCCACGCGACCTTAGGGGCCTAGGGTGCAAAAGAGTGGTTTCTTTCTACCAGGAAATCACTATGATGCTTCTGATACAAAAGAACAATAAGCAAGCTTCGTGCAATTATTGTGTCGTTGCTTTGAATTGAAACGAGTCGAACCATTTTTCAGAAGGAGGCGGTTGCTGGTCCTTTAAACAACTGGAGGGTCATATTCAAAGCCTCCCCTCGTAATGCATTCTCATGTTCTTTCTTGTCAACAAAGAAAAGCTTTCATACGCAATGCGTATCAGTGAGCGCACAGGCAGAGCGCACGGGGGAGTCCCTGCTCTGCGCCGTCACTCCGCTTACCTCACGGCACCGCGTTTACGCGTCCGTTCGCGGGGTTACCCCCATGCGAGCGGCGAGTGATGGCGCGCTGTGGGGCGGGTGGGGGGGAATCGTACCGGCAGCGGAGGCGGTGGAAAGGGCGAGGAAGGCACGGCGACCGCTTGTGTCCGCGCTGCTGTCGTCGTCGCGCGACGCCTCTCGCCGTGAATCGCCCGCTGCTGCTTCCGCCACCAACGACCTCACGCGCCCTGCCCGGACGCGCGTCAGAGAAGGCGGGTGCGGCGGACTTAGTCAAAGAAGAAGAAGAAGAAAATAACGGAATTGAAAGAAACCGGAAATGGCATTTAACGCAGCGGTCGCGTTCGTGCCTTTCAAGTCAACTTAGAAACCGGAAATGACATTTAACGCAGCGGTCGCGTTCATGCCTCAACTTAGAAACCGGAAATGACATGTGACGCAACAGCGGTTGCGTTCATGCGCGGATATTTGCAAGACGCGCTGCTTGGATGCCGTCGAAGGCTCGCGTGTATTGACAGCCATTGCAAGCGGTTGGTTTCGGGTTGAAACGGAGCATGCGAGGCATGCGGTCTGTTTGTTACAGCCGTACTGGGTGCGAGGGAGCGGCTGCAGGCGTTTCTTAAGGCTCGCGTCGAACGTTCCTCAATTCCCGCCGCCCCCGCCAGAGCTGGCACGACTGTCGAGCACGATGCGAGCGACGCAGCAGCCATGGTCACAGCAATGTGGGAAAGATATGGTGGTGTTGGAAACGCTGGTCTTGTGAAACCCGTTCAATCTCAATCCAACTAGCATTGCCTAATACTGTAGTCTCCCGCGATTCTCCACTCCCTCACTCCACTCCACTCAATCCACTCTCCAACTCCCCAATTGGAGAGAGTCGGGGGGAGTTATCCAAACGTCGGCTACGGGGAACACAAGGTCCCCCGCACGGTAGGCCCACCGCCGCCCCTTTCGAAATCCTTTCGCGGAACAACAGGCGGCCTCCAGCACAACCAGCGCCACGCGAGTGCGAACGAACTCCCCCAACTCCCCGACCTCGTTAGGAAAGTCCCCCACACTCATAAATGTAAATATGTTACGAGCATGCGAGTGCAATTGAGTGAACGAACTAGAATTGCACTATCGAGAGTACAATGAGCGAAGGCATGAGCGAAGAATATATAGCGAAACTGCAGTGGTAACGGTAATGGACTGTGGCTGTCGCGTAACGGGCCTGGGACTGAGGTTGGGAAAAGTGTCGAAGCGGAGGCCCGGAGCATAGGTTACCCGCCGAGCCGTGAGGTCGGGGTGCGACATGCGAAGGTGGCGGGCGGATTGTTGATGCGAGGGTTGCGAGTGGTAACAGTGCTGACTGTGGTGCTACAGTGATGTACGCGTTGAGCAGGGATGCGAAGTAAGGAAAAGGATTTTTCCTTACACTACCCCTCGCCCTAAGGAGGTCCTCCTTACGAAAGTGCGTGTACATCCCTGAAATTTCGGCTGCGCAGATACTCGGTGAGGACGGGGTGGTTTTCGATTCTGTCCAAGGGAACCCAATTGTCTTCGGTGGGTGTACGGTCCTTCCAGCGGAGTAAGAACTCGATCCTTCGGGCTCCTCGAGGGTCGCGAACTCTGTGACTCATGATTTTCTCGGGGGTGATGATTGGTTCAGTTGGTGGTCTTGTCATGCTAGCTGGCCGATTGCGTGGCAGTTGGCTCGTGGACGGGACGTAAGGACGAAGCAGGCTGACGTGGAATGAGGGGCTGACGTACCAGTCAGCAGGGAGGAGGAGGTGGGCGGTGACGGGTGTAAGCATGTGGCTTATGCGAAATGGCCCGAAGTATCGGGGGCGGAGTTCCGGGGTGATGGGCAGTCGGAGGTTCTGAGTGTCAAGTAAAACTAAGTCGTCGGGCTGCTAAGTGACAGGTCTACAGTGGCGGTCGTGAGAAGAAACGAGAATGAATGCACTATGAAAGAATTGGGTACAAGTACTAACCCTAATTGGGTTGTACCCCATATAGGCTACCCCACTACCGCCTACACAAAAGCATAAGCTATAATGTTCTGACACACCCCCATAGGCAAAGTGGGGGAGTACAAGGGGTCACAAAACCAGTCAAGCAAAGCAAAGCAAGCTCAGGGTGGATCACAAAGTCACCACACATTCCGAGCACAAGGTCAAGGCCACAAGGCCAGTTCACATGCAGGAGTACATATATATATAAAAGGCTAGACAAGCAAGAGCAGGTGTATATATATATATGTAACAGTACAAGCAAGGTCAAGAGGTGAGCAAGTGAGGCAAGGCAGGCACAAGACCAAGCTGAGTACAGAAGCGCTGATGATCACAAGGTGCAAGTGCCTTGGTGAAGATATCAGCAGTGTTGGCCTCAGAGGCCACGTACGCAAGACGCAGCTGACCACGTTGCTGCAGCTCACGAGCAAGGAAGTAGCGAAGAGCAATGTGCTTCGTTCTATGCTCCATTCTCTGCTCTCGACACAAGGCCAGCATGGCCTTGTTGTCTATGTACAGCACTGGAGGAGAACGAGGCGGCTCTCCGAGGTCAGTCAGCAGGTAGGTGAGCCAGCGAAGCTCCTGTGCAGCCATGGCCCCGGCGTAGATCTCAACCTCACAACTGGAGCCGAGAACAGAAGACGAGCAGGTAGCCCGCCACGAAAAAGAGCCGGAACCAAGGCTGAAGGTGTAACCCTGTGACGACCGCTGCTTAGCCCGGTCATCCGCCCAAGAAGCGTCTGCGTGCCCAGTGAGGACCACTGGACTCTGCCCTCCAAGCACAAGCCCCATGCCCGACGTACTGCACAAGTAGCGCAACACCCTCTTCGCTGCAGCCATGTGCTCCGGTCTGTGTCTCCCAGGAGCAGCATAGCGTGCGAGAATGCTGAGAGGGTATGCAAGGTCAGGTCGAGTGCAGGTCATCAGGTACATGAGGCAGCCAACAAGCTCTGGGTACGGGCCACTCGACTCTACGGACTCATCCGAAGGCAGAGCTGAGAGCGAGTGACGAGTAGGCAGAGGAGTGGCCTGAGGCGAGGAGTACGTGAAGCCGAAGCGCTGAAGGACCTGCTGCACCATGTGTGACAGAGTCAAGGTAATGGTGCGCTATGCTCTGTCCCGGGTGATCTGCAAGCCAAGGTAGCTGCGCAGTTCACCCATGTCTGTGCACGTGTGTCTCTTCTGCAGCTCGGACTTCACGTGGGCGGGTCCAGCAGTTTCAGCTGTGGCAAAGACCAAGTCGTCCACGTACACGAGGATGCAGAACAGCGGCAAAGAAGTGTCGGTGCGCAGAAACAGCGACGGGTCAGCAGTAGAGGGAGCAAACCCAAGAGCCGCAAGCGTAGTCCTCAGTGTGTCGTGCCACTTACGCGGTGCCTGGCGGAGACCGTAGACTGGCCGCCGGAGGCTCCTTTGGGTACCAGGAGGAAACGACCCTGTGAAGCCAGGTGGACGGCGCAGCCAGATCTCCTCATGCAGGCTGCCCTGCAAGAAAGCTGTGCTGAAATCAAGAGAGTGAAGCTCGTAGTCGCGCTGAGCGGCTATGTGCAGCAGCACCCGAAGAGTGGTCATCTTTGGGGTGGGAGAGAAGGTCTGAAATTAGTCAACTCCCTGCCGCTGACTGAAGCCTCGAGTCACGTAACGTGCCTTGAAGACAGGCGGAGAACCCGGCGGCCGCTTCACCCTGAAAATCCACATGCCACTGACTATGTTCGCCCCAGGTGGGGGAACCTCGTCAACGTAGGTGTTTGTGGACTTCCAGGAAGCCATCTCTGCGTCCATAGCTGCCCGCCACTAAGAGAAGTAGGGACCCTCTATCGCCTCCGCGTAAGAGCGCGGAGTCGGGATGTCAAGTGCATCCGGGTCTCCCTCAGGGGTAAGCAGTACGGATACGAGATGAGGTGAAGCAGCAGCTAGACACTGGAACTCCTCCTGTCTGTCCTCAAGGACGTCCGTGCCAAGGGCACACTCACCCCCGACGGACGGAGGGACAGACACACTCAGACTCAGCGACAAGACTAGCAGCGTAGTCTAGACGACATCGAGCAGCAAAGTCGACGAGCTCAGCAACTAGGGCAGACGCAGCAGTGGACTCAAAGGAAGGGTCAGTGACAATTGTAACAAGGAGACGCGTGACAGTAGGACTGGCAGCACGAAGAGAGTCCGACTCCGGGTCGGCAAGGGCAGAAAGAGAAGACTCAGGAGGAGAAGGTAAAGGGGCACGCAGAGGAGCAGTGGATGGACGCAGAGACATCCGGTGCGTGCCAGGGACAGGAGGAGGACGCTGACGCGAACCGCGACCACTAGTGCGAGCAACACGGACAGGCGACGCAGGGCGAGACGTAGGCTCACGACGCCCAGCAAGACCTCTAGTAGGACCAATGTAGGGAGACGGAGCAGGCAGTGGGGAGGCCGGCTGTAACTGTAACTGCGACGGGACAGGCTGTGGACACTGTAAGGGAGGAGGAGGACCAGTAGAAGACGGGAGACCAAGAACCTGCTGAAGGAGCGGAACGAAGTACGGCTGAGGCCGCGCGGCGACTCCAGACACAGCAGGGACAGCACCAGTACCCCCAGCGGCAGCACTAGCACCAGCAGCATCTCCAGCTCCAGTACCTCCAGCAGCACCAGTAGCACCCCCAGCAGGACCGCCTCCAGGACCGACAGTAGTAGCCTCCGCGCCAACCCTAGCAGCAGCTCCATCTCCAGAAGTACCCGCAGGCCCAGCTCCTCTAGTACTCCCAGTACGAGCACCTCCGAGACCCGCGGCACCAGCACCCTCAGCAGCAGCAGAACCTCCAGCTCCAGCAGCTCGCCTCCAGCGCCGGGCAAACCACTCACGCAGCTCCTGTGGAGAGAGTGGCTCCCGGCGAGACGAAGCACCCAAAGAACCACCAGGCACAGCACTGTTAGACGCCACACCAGCATGCCCAGGTCCCTCAGGCTCAGCACCTCTAGGCTCAGCACCTCCAGGCTCAGCACACCCAGGCTCAGCACACCCAGGCTCAGCACTCCCAAGCTCAGCACCCCCAGGCTCAGCACCCCCAGGCTCAGCACCCCAAGGCGTAGCACCCACACTCTCAGCATCCCTAGAGTCAACACCCCTACGCTCAGCACCCTCAGCAGCACCAGAGTCACCAGCGACCTCGACCGGCTCAACAGCGTCTACCTGGGACACACTTGAAGGGGCAGGACCCTGAGGGGGGAGGGGGTCTACCGGGGGTGGACCTGGCACAAGGAAGAGCGGTGGCGGGGGGAGGGACGGAGTGCGGTATGGGAAGAGACGGTAGTAGGGGACCGACTCGTCGAACGTGACGTCCTAGGAGGACAGAACACGGCGAGAGGTGGGGTGGTAGAACTGCCACCCTGGCGCGTCAGGGGGGAAACCCAGGAAGACGCAGGGAGCAGCACGAGGGGACAGCTTGTCCGCAGACAAGTCGCGGACAAACGCCTGAGATCCCCAGACACGGAACGCAGACGCATCGCCAACCTTCCCCGTCCACAACAAAGCTGGGGAGGTCTCTGGCATGGAGACCCTGGGCTGAAGGTTGATCTGATGCGCCACGTACCGGACCGCAAACGGCCACAGAAAATGGGGGGCAGCCGCATGCATCATGGACGTACGGGCGACGTCCATGACCATGCCAATGCGGCACTCAGCAATCCCATTTTGCTGTGGAGAGTCCGGAAGCGTGAAGGTTTGGCAGATCCCTTGT